TCGTTCGCTGGTGGCGGTGACGGCGCCCGGGATGGCTGAGTCTTGCTCATCTCAACCGACACGACGATTGACTGAGCACCAATGTTAGTAAGGAACGACATGGTGCGTGCGAGCAAGAATGTCTCACCTCGACGGGCATGTTCAGAGACGCCAATGGCTGATTGCTAGATTGCTGAGGACTACTCATCGGAGTACTCTTCATGAGTGGCCCGCCATCAGTCATGTGCAGGACGGGCGCCTGCTGTGAGTCCGAGTACGAGGAGGGTGAGTCCACAATTTGAAGGGAGGTTGGCGCCGTGGCGACGATGTCAACCTTCTCCGCACTCGTCGGAAGGCACGTCGAAGGAGGTTCACCGCCAGCCTCGTGCAACACGGGAGTACCCGAGAGCATCGGGCGAATCTTGGGCTTTTTGACGGTTATAGGCTGGCTCGTGGCTGCAGGTCCGCGAACTCATCGCACCATAAGTCAGAACGGACATCTCCGCGACGTGCGCGGCGATACTCACGGCCATCAGGAGCTTTCGCCACAGACGCCTCGAGAACGGCCGGCACATGTCCTAAACCACTTTTCTCAGCCGCGCCTACAACTTTCCCTCCGAAAGCATTCTTGTATGTCTCCTGAGATATATCAGAGGAATAACGAAAGGCAGCCGTGCTCACACGCACCGCCCAAAGATCGGCCTCCTCCGGGGGCATACTCCCAATTATCTCCTCAAGCCCGTCTTTCAGTGCTTCATCAGCTCTCATAGACGGCATATGGAGGGAAAGACAATACCGTCAGCCTGAGGGCGCCGTCCGGCCTTGCGATTCTACAGCGACCCGGTTGGTAAGCGTACCCATGCGATCGTCGGAGAGATGTATCGCTCACCCGCAACCGATCACGCTTCACGTACTCGATCTGGACATACGAACTTCAGTACAATGACGGATTCATGATAAAGGTCTACACGCACGTCATGAGACAGCCAAGTCGACGGGCCGAACCTCTTCTTGAAGTCGCTCCCTCGGACCACTGGCATCGTCGGGCTTCAAGCTTCAAGCTCAGGTTCAAGTTCAGTCTCAGTTGGCAGTCAGAGGTTAGCTATCGCCATTAGCACCGCTTTGCTTATATCTCCTGCGAAAGAGCATGAGATAGAACGTAAGAGAAGGATCCTTGCAGCTGTCAGCCCATGGGACGGGATGCCCATCGCGGCCTGCGCCTTCCCCCGACAACGTCCCACATGACCCGACATCTTTCCAGGGAGACATTGCTGAATACGCACGTCCGTGTATTCTTGCAATACAGCAGGCCAGAACAAGTAGGAAGCCATCTGGATGTGCGGGTCATCAATGATTATGGGTGAACACTTGAATGTATGGTCATGGTCAGAAGGCAAGGCGCTTATTTCGGCCGCGCTTCGCTTCGCACGACCCGCAGATCAGAGATCATAAAACAGATCTTATCAGCGCTTCGACTGCAGGCACGTCACAACCATTGACTATCGAGCAATATATTCGTATACGGGTAGGTAGGATGCGTAGGTCGTACAAGATTATCAGAGACTCGGCGTCCTGTACGTACTACGTATCGGGCCGAGAAGTAATGTTCGGGAAAGAGGACATGACGATGATACCAAAAGCAGAACACCCATGAGAAGACGAAACCCGGCACAAACCCTATCGTACACCCACAAACAGAACCCACAACCACAACCACCCCCATCCTGACCCTCACCCATCCGCCTCCTCCGCCTCAACGACCTCCGCCCAGATATACCTCCGAATCACGCCCACAAAATCCAGCCACTCCCTCTTCATCCTCCGATTCCAAGCCGCATAGATCGCAAGCTTACACTTCTCTTCAGGACACACCTGCCACCCATGCGGCCTGATGATCCTATGGCTCCGCAACGCCCACCCCGCGCGTATCGGGTCGAACGTCCAATCCGTACTCGAGCACGCAAAGCCCTCTTCGATCCCGAGCATAGTATCAAGCCATCGCTGCGGCTTATCCAGCCTCTGCGCCTCCGAGAGCTGCAGCGGCTCTGTGGCGTGCGGACACACGGCGGGATACTCCGGGCCGGGACCGGACCTGTACTTTGCCCAGCGCCCGTGGCAATGGTTTCGCACGGCATTAACGTCTTCCAGCCTGTCCGCAAGGATCTCGGGTGAATCGCCCACGACGAACCCCAGCGCGGCCATGACGTCGCGCAACTTGAAGCTCGCCTTGCACGCGGTGAACGTCTCGTACGCCGCGCGCAGGAAAACCTCGCGGAGGTGGTTGTACTGCGGGTCGCACTCGCGCACGCAGCGGATGGTGTCGAGGGCGTCGACCATCGGTAGCCGCGCAGTCGACAGACCGATACGCCAGGCGCTCGCGGGCCAGGTCTTGCGGAGGGCTTCGACGCAGCGGTGGAAGATCTTCTTGAAGTCGAGCGCATGCGAGGTGCGGAGGAGGCGACGGATGTCTGCTTGCGTGCACCCTTCGGACCGGAGGACTGTTCCCCTGGTGAAAAGGTCAGGGATCGCAAACACGCTAATAAAGACAAGAAGTACTCACTCGTTGTCAAGCTCGTCCAGAATGAGTTCAACTCCTTGAACATCGCGACAATGACCGGTGATGTCCACGAAAGGCCGTCCCGTAAGCGCCATAGTGGCCGGGATGTTGAGCAAGGTGCTGAACAGATCTGACTCCTGGGAAAGCCGATCGCGCCACCCGTTGAGCATGACCATTCCGCATTGTATGTCGACGAGCTGGTCATCTCCGTGCCAATGCTTCTTGTTGGTAATGAGCTGCTGGGTGGCGGGTCCAGACCTGCTTGAGCTGGGCTCATCGACGCGCTGCCTCTTCGACGGAACGTCCGACCCCGCGTCCGAGTTGAACCTCTTCTGCGGTACCTGAGGCGTCACGGGAGCGGGAGCGGCGAGCAGAGGCGCAGGCGCTTCAGCGTCGACAGTCCAAGGGCGAGTCGGAACGTCTTCGACCTTGGACGTTGATGGTGTCGGCACAGGCGCGGCGGGAATAGAAGCCACCGGCGCTGGAGCCGTAGTCGACGAGGCTTGAGGTACAGGCGTAGTTCCCGTCGAGGGTGGCGACGGTGGGCGCGGCGGCGAAGCTGGTATATTCAGCGGTGCTGGCGTCGGCCGTACTGCTGCAACGGCGGCGACGGACGCTGCCCTTCCCTGTTCCTTCGCGATCATCAGGCGATCCACACTCGTCATAGACACAGACGAAGCGCGATCAGCGTTCTCTTTGGCTTGTGCGCTCGACGTCGATGGCGCCACGACAACCGCGGGAGTGGGCTCCTTGCTCTTGGACCGGGCACGCGCATCTATGTTAGCGTCCGGCATGACCTTGGCCGTGAGCGGTCGTTGTGTCTTGGGACGCTCGATGCCGGTGTCGATGGGCTGCAAGTTCTTTACTACGGGCACGGTACCCAAGACGGGCCAAGCAGGCTGTACCTGCTGAGCAGACGTAGTAACGACGGCGGGGGCGGGCACGAGCGTTGAGCTTGGGCCAGACGAGGGCGTTGATTGGCTTTGGGCGGCGACAGGGGCGGGTGCAGGTGTGGATAGCTTCGCTGGCCGAGTCGTCTTACGGGCGTGCGCCGCATCCCGTGTTGTGGCGACAGGCTCGGCCACGACGGGTGCAGGTGCCACAACAGGAGCAACGGTCGTAGGCGCCAGCCGACGGCGAGGATCAACCGTCTTGGTGTCCTCTCCGTAAGCCAACTTCTGCTTCGGGCGAGGAGCCACCTGCGGCGTAGCGCCCGCCTGCAAAGTCGAACCCGATGCCGCCGTCACATTCTTGTCGGTCCGCGGCGTCTTCGAGACCTTGCTGCCGCACTTGGACAGCTGAAGGTTGCTCGGCACAGCATGTCGAGAGCCGTGCACCGGTGCCACACTTTCGCACGCGGTCGACATGTTATCTGCAGATGGAACAAGATTAGACGCGCGAGGACCAGAGACGGAATTATGGGCGCCTCGCCACACACCTTCGCGTGTCGACGCGTGCTTCTTCTTCGTCGTCTTGACAGGTGGAGCTTTCGTCGCTGTACTGGGTGCCTTCTTCTCCGTCTTGGGCGCCTTACGTTCGGCTTTGACTATATTGATCGTTGCATCAGTAAATGACGCGGTCAATGCTAGAGATAAGCGTAGGTCACCTGGCTGTGCCGATGCCGTGCGCTTGTGCGGTAAATCGTGCTGAGACACGGGCTGCGCTGAGCGTGATGGGGCCGTCGTCGACGAGGATGCCGTCTTGCTCGTTGTGCCACGTTCGACCTTGAGGGCGACGTTGGGAGAGGCTTCTACCTCCATTGGTTCTGGTTCGCCGAAGAGACTCGAGTCTTCGTCTTCAGACTCGTCGTTGCGGTCGTCCATGACGACGTCCTCCTCGACCACGGGCGCATCGGTCGGGACGGTCGACACGACGACGATGTCGCTAACGATGACGTCGGACGGCGAAGTCTTGTCCTTGTTGCCGGATGTAGAAGCCTCGAACGCATCCTGAGGGCGTCGTCAGTAAGAGTCGCCCCGAGGCACGTGAGGAGTGGAGAGGGAACGGCGTACCAAGAACCCATCGGCAAAGGGGTCTATAGGCCCCTCTACCAACACATGCATGTTGGATCTCGCTTAATGGGAAGCTAAATCAGTACTTGGACGCGCCGTGTTGCGGGGGAGCGACGCACCCTGCTCGTGCGCACTCTGGCGTCGCTTGCGCGTTTGCGGCGTCACATCGTTGCTCGTCGTCGCGGCATCGCCCGGCGTCGACTGAATATTGTCATTGTTCGAATTTGGGTTGGTGGCCGGGAATGGAAGGGAGGCCTGTTCCGGTCGGGCGTCAGTTCGCCACCAACTGACGCGAGCATGCCACAGCGATCGACAAGCGCGTACCTGACAGCCGCCGATCGACGTCCTTTTCTTGCTTTTCTTATTTCCAGGCGCCATCGACTACAATTGTGGCGGTGCGGTGTGGTCGGGGTACAAGCGAGGTCAAAGCAGGAGGCAAAGGTGAAGGGAGCCGCTCTGAAGGGGCAAATTCAATTGCCACCCCGCGTCAAGCCTCGTTTTCTTTTTCAATCCTCCTGCCTCCTTTGTGTAGCCCTCGCTCGGGACCGCCTGGCGCCAGTCATCCTCCTCGCAGCCTATAGCACACTCCCCGAAGTCCTTTAACAAAGTGAGCAAACCCCTGATTATCGAGCCTAATCGTTCTCAACCGAACGTACCTGAGGTTCTCAGCACCGTAAGATTAAATCGTCGCATGGCACCCCGCAGTGCTCAGAGGGAGATTGGTGGAGTGATAACGGCTGGTAAAAGCGCAAAAGACAAAGAGCACAAAGAGCAGGAAGCGCAGGAAGACATCGTGGTCGGCTGTTGACGTGGAATGCAGTGTGGGTTCCCCCGCGAGCGACCCTTTCCACCATCTTCCTCTGACACGGTGCGGGACACGGACATCACCGTCTCATTCATTCTCCGCTTTCTGACATGGACGCGTAAATCTTTGGCGCGGTGAAAGATCGGCCACTGCGGGAGTGTAGCATACGTATCTACTCGAGTCAAGAGCTGCGGGAATCTGGAGCACTCGGAGGAGAGAAAACAATAATGCACATAATCATCGCTGTGTGTAAATATGTACATGGGAAGCACTCGAAGCGAACATTGTTCTCTACGCTAGATATAGCGTACGGTGTGGATAGACATGGAAAGGAAGGAAAATTGGACAGTTATACCCACCCACTGCCACCACGCAGTGAAAGCGCCCGACAGCCCCGCCCAGCAAGCTTCGTGACTTCTCAGGCGCTTATTTTCGTATATTCTTGACAACAGTTGCCTAGCGCCCAAGCGCCGTTCGCCAGCAGAGCGATGTCGCATAACGCGTAGTGAAAAGGCTTGGAGGGCGCTGATATAAATGTGCCTCTAGCTGCATGCGGCACTTGTCGTTTCGATCCCAGGCCTGGACCATGTCGAGCGAGGATCTATCAAGAAAATGTCAGCATACAGCTTCACGTGCAGAAGGACGAGAAGGAAGGACGGCTCAGTAGGAACAATTGGTATGTATAAAGTTCTTCGGCAGTGCCCCGCAGGGTCTTCCGATCCCTTGTGTTCATCTCTGCGCGGAATAAAGAAGGCCGACTCACACTGTACATGACGTCTGGATGTCCCCGGAGCCGAGGACTGCGAGGAAGCTACGCTCGAAACTTCGAGGATGGGGCTGTGGCCTGGAGCGCGGTTAGATGAAAAGGATCAAGCCGATGTCATCGTCGAGATAACGCTGATCGAAACGTCGTATAGGCCAGTCGGATCGATGCAGGTACGTCCAGACCTACACCTCCCACAGAAGCCGAGCCGAGTGAACTGGTCGGGTAAAGTCGGGCACGACGTATCACTTGAGCTCGAGATCTGACGGCCTTCCACGGGTGTTGGCGTAAGGTACTGAAGTCCACGTCCTTGCGATGTCAGAACCCGGATAGATCAAGCGATACGGCTCTCCGCCCTGTGCGAGATGAAGGTGAGGCCAAGTTCGAGCGTGCCAGGCCCGGCCAGAGCGGAGGTCCGCGGCCCGTCGGTTTGAGCACACGACCTGGAGGACAAAGAGCTGTGAGAGCGAGCACAGCGCGCCGATGAGATCTTCGACGAGTCAATTGCAGAGAAGCATGGGTCGAGGCTGATCATGAGGTCGAACTGGGCTTTGTGATGACGAAGAGAAAAGTCAGATGAGTTGGAACGATGCGCGATGGACCCAATTAGAATCTCTTCAGGCGAAGGCTATGATGTCGACGGGCGTAACCTGGGCGGGCGGAAGTGTGAGACGTATGACCTGGCAGTTGTATTCTGCTGACGCACCTTCAACGCCCAGCGAAAATTTTCAACGTGCGTGCAGTTCGGCGCGACGAGCACACACCGGCGGGAGACTCGATACTAGTACAGCAGCTGTCAGCCACGCCACGACAATACTAGGACATCCTGTGAAGTGAAGAGACGAGGCGAAGGGAGAACATGTTTGAGAATTGGGAGTGATCGTCGCAGGAGACAAGGTGCGTGCGCGCCGCGACTTGAACAAAACTTCCATGCTTCGCCTGCCCAATATACAGATCACTGTCCCCGTTGCCCTGCCTCACTCATCATAGGCACTGCGAATACTTGAGATAGAGACATTTCTCATAAGCGGATCCACAGGCCAAGCCGCCTGAAACGTCGCCACCACTCCGTGTCCATACGTCCCATCGTGAGGAGGATCATCTGCACCCGTCTTTCCCGCATACGCAGTGCACGATGCTCCCTCGCTACAGGCTCAAGACGATAAGCTGGCCGCCTATGGCACAACCGTCTACTATCCTTGTGCGATTCGACGTGTTCCGAGGACATCGTCTTGCCGTGTTCGACTGAGAAGCCAGTCGTATGCTCGGCCACCAAATATTCCCGGCACCGTATGCAACTGCCGCGATAAGTGGCACCCTTGGTAAGAAATCCCACCGTAGTACTGAGCTCGCCTTACGATTCGTCACTGTACTGTTCTTGATGCTTGATGTATGCTCCCAGCACGAGCAATGTCCGAGCCCCAGCTGGGCGCAGACCCACATTCCATTACCGCCAGCGTCCCTCTCATCTCGTTATCTCTACATGGTCTCATATTATTGCAATCACTGCCTTGCCCCAACGATTCGTTCATGCATCGGACAAGTACACCAGCCTCCCGTACGGTATGAGAGGCGGTAAGCTACAGCCTACAATTGCCACAGTAAGCGGGTGTGAACTCAGCCTTCCGAAGCAGAAGCCACGATGCAAGACAAACCGTAAATCGCAAGCCATCCGGCACGCCGAGATGTGGCCCAGATAGGGGCGTCCGTGTTGCGCAGCCGGCGCTGAAGCGGTGAACACATGCCAAGAATGGGTTCTCCGCGCAAGACCTGCGTCCACGAGCACAAACTGACAGAGAAGACGCTAGTATAGTCCTCCTCCCACTCCTTCACCTGCCTCGGACGACCAAGTCGGACGAAGGCATTGGCGGCCGAAATATAGTGGAACGACCTGGGTTATAATTGGAGGGCGCTGATACGCGGGACGCCCCAATGGAGACGGGTTTCCCAGCAACTCGATGGGGGAGGCCTGCGCTCGTACCATCTAAAGTTCAAGACATCGGCACGTGCGCTTCTGGACCGCTTTATTGAGCTACAGATATAAGTTCCCTCGCTAATTAGCAGCATCCCTTACGCTCAACCGTCGCCCCGCCACCCTCCCTCGCCCTCACGACAACTCAAGTCACCCAACTCCAAGATGTCCTCCGTCCTTCGCACCGCTACCCGCGTCGCCCGCCCCGCCACCTTCGGCGCGCGCGCATTCCACTCGCCCTTCGTCGTGCTCGCGGACAAGGCACCCGCCGCGCGCTCGGTTGCGGCCAGCGCGTCGGACTACGAGCTCGAGTATGCCTCGCGCACCGTCTACGTCGTGAGCGAGCCAGAGCTCCCCGCCACTGCTCGCGCGACCTCCGTGCCCATGGGCGCATACCACGTTTCAACGCCATACTCTAAGGAAACGCCTGCTACTAACAAGGTTTGTTCTATCTCCGCCACTATCTTATCTGAGCCTTTGCTGACAAGACCTTCCGCAGGCTTAAACGCGCTTATCATACCCATTCACTCATGCATAGACCTGGAGGTGCCCTGGAGCTGTACGAGACGAGACGCATTCGCGTTGGAGAGAGAGGGAAGAGCCGCCGCATACTCACTTCGTTTCTTGGAGGATTCTCTCAGTGGGGCTGTACGATAGGAATGAAGGATCTGTTTGGATAGAACTCGCTTAATGAATCATGCAATCGCGTCCTGTGTGCGCCTGTTCGCGGCTGATGTGTTCGGTGTGAAGATGTGGGAAGCGAAGCATGTCAGTGAACTTGAGAAGTCGGAAGCGTAATGTGGCACTCGGGCCCCGTCGGATGTCCGGCCCCGACGGAATGCCGAATCTGGACGCGGTCTCGTGCGCGTCGCGGGCAAGTCGCGTTCGCGACAGACACGAAGCCCGCTCGCGCCCGTTGACTTCAATGCAACGGATTTCCGCATAGTCACATCGTACAGTACATGTGGGTAGATATGTTCTCCTTAGCTTGAGCAGCTGCATTGGAATCCTAGCATCTCCCGGCTCCCAACACCACCTAAGCAAGCACGTCAGCGCCTGGACAATAGACGAGAAGAAATAGCACGCACAGAACCGCCTCTCCTCCTTCGTCTCAGCATCCAGCTCCTCGTCAGGTTTCTCATCGCCCTCCGCACCCCACGGTTCAAACGGCGCACATGCCATCTGCATCACTTTGTTCAACAACCTTCTCCCCGCGACGTGATCCGCCTCCGTCCTTGAGATAACCTCCTCAAGCACCCACTGCCTCAACACGAATCGCGGATTGTGTTTCTTCGCATTCTCCACGCGAGCTTCCACGTCCTGCCCATCACGCTCGATGCGCTCAGAGAAGGCCTGAAGCCAGGAGATCCAGCCCTTGACAGCCGCATCGCGTTGTATCCACTCCGGACGACTCGAGAGCGCGAGTATACCGTCGATGAACTTCGTGAGCCCATCCTCACTCGCAAATACCGAAGGCTTGAAATGAGCGAGATGCCGGAACGTCAAGTGGAAGTCCAGCTTCTGATCGGCCATAGCAGCGAACAAGGGCGTGAACAACTTCGCGTCGTCGGTCTCATCCGGGGACTTCAAGCCGAGTCTGTCGCGCATCTGCGCGTCGTAGGCCACATCGTATTCGGCGCGGAAGAGATCGAAGAGCTCGGACTCGACGGCGGATTTGGCGGAGTCGGTCCATTCGGCTATTTGTTCTTCGGATGCGTCTGCGGCCCAGTTTTTCGCGACTGCCGACTTTTGAGCGAGCTCGGCGCCGATGAGAGGAGCGAGGGCGTTGAGGAGCTGCTTCAGCGCGAAGAGGATCATCGCTGGTTGGTGCTATCACATGGAAGAGAGTCAGTGTAGGCTACAAGAGAGTGATACGCCAATGCACATACCTTGTACGCATAACGTCCCCCATCATCCGTATGATTGCAGATGTGCATGTCGTCGAAGACGTCCATGAATGCGTAGGGTCCATAGTCGATGGTGAGCCCAAGGATCGAGACGTTATCCGTATTGATCACTCCGTGCATAAACCCGTACGCTTGCCACCCTGCCACCATCCGCGCGTTCCTTCTCGCGCTCTCGAGTAGGATCTCCTTTCCCCACACACCGCCCTCGCCTCTTTCCACCCGCAGCACGCGATCAGCGACCCATTCGCCAAGAATTCTCAAGGCGTCCAAATCTGCTTCCTGTTGTCCGCCACCGAAGAAGAACATACGCTCAGGCGGATTGAGCGCCTCGAAACTACCGATGCGGATGAAGGAAGGTGCCATGCGCGCAGTGATGCAAGCTGCTTCTTGGCGCTCGCGAAGGACGGGCAGGTTCGGGAGGGATACGAGCGAGAGTGAACGCGTAGTCGGGATACCAAGTGCCTGCATGGCTTCCGCGCAGAGGTACTCGCGGATAGACGAGCGCACGACGGCGAGTCCGTCGGCAGAACGTGAGAAGGGCGTTCGTCCGGCTCCCTTCAACTGGACCTCCCATATCTCCTCCGGCTTGTCCGGATGCGGCGTCGCGAGGATGGAGATCGCGCGTCCGTCGCCTAGCTGGCCGGCCCATGAGCCAAATTGATGACCAGAGTAACGCAAGGACCATGGTGCGAAGGAGACGTCCGCATCTTCTGGCGTCATGAGCACTGCACGTCCGCCGAGGACGTCCACGAGCGTCTCGCGGGCTTTCGCAGTGTCTGACCGTGCCGTGGGCTTGTACTCATGTGCAGGCCCGCAGGCAGAGAGCGATCCGGGACCAAGCACGTCGAGTGCATCTCCAATATCCAGATGTGGCAAGCAATCGTTCAACGCATTGCGAGACAGTGCGAGAAGTACAGTCTCCTGCTTGTCCCGCGAATCCTCGTCCGCGTACAGAACCTGCATCTCATCCTCCCCCGTCTTCGCAACCGGTCGCGGGTGCACCGCCTCGCGTGTGGCCAGCCACATTTCTATGTACTTCGCGCGATCTTCTGCGAGTGCCGGGTCGTCCGGCGGCTCGATCTCGAAGGGAAATGGTATCGGGAGCGGAGCGACGTGGGAGAAGTGAGCGGCCTTGTCGAGGAGGCGGGCGCGGCGCTGAAGCGATGGCGTCTCTTGGAGAAAGTGTTTGAATGCGGGGACTGTGGGCGTGATGGGGTCCGCATTGAGGTTATGGATCAGGAGATTGGTGGGCGAAGGGAGCGGGAGAGTGTTGATGGGCTTCTTGGTAGCTGTCGACATGGCTCGTCGTAGAAGCATACAAGAAGAGAGGGTATTCCGGTATGTCTAATAGTCCGGTTGACTGCAAAGGACTATCAAAGTTGAAGGCAAGGTGCAGCACCAGCCGCCTCTCCAAGATTTCTCAGCCTTGAGAAGCTGAACGTGATCGCCACTTGTCGTCATCAGAGCCACAGGCCTCTTTCCTCTCTCCCATCCCAGCAAAGCATGCCATCAGCTACGTATACAGAGAATATCGTATCCAGAGGGGTTGAAAGAGAATGTACCGAGGTGATTTGGGGGCGAGACTGGAAGTGAAAGGTGGTAATGATGGTCCTGAACAGAGTCGGGCAAGCCTCGGGGTTGCATTTCTGGCTGCACGTGTGACGATAACCGCGCGGCAACCGCCGATTGGGTGGTCCTTGCGCGTTTACTTCCTTCGTTACCACCATCATCGGCATCGCCTGTTCCCAATATCTATACTTTTGACCTTCTCGATAGTCCGTACGGAACAAGTGCGCAGAGACCATGAATAGCTTACCACACGGAGCAACAGCATCACCGACAACAGCGACAGACGCTCAACGCGATCACCACCACTCGCCAGGGTCTATGCTCGAGTGCTATGCATCCCCGCTTGGAAACCTGACGTTTAGCGACGATGTCTTGTACTGAAACACACGTCAATGCACCTTCACATTGATCATCAACGGAATCCATCTAGCCCGGTTGCTGTGTTACTCCCAGCTGAGCGCCAGGGACAATGCACCAATCGCTTCGAGTAGCCCCAACGCAACTTCTTTCTACTTGGTCGATCACCTCAGTCTCTGGCGAGGCTCGCTAAGGAACTGAAGCCGAGCCCAGCCACACCTTTGCCTTGCGTGCCTTCTGCCGGTGTTCTTGGGAGATCATCAAGACCGCGACTTGCATGGCGCCAATAATGTATCCAAACTCTAGCCCACCTTCTTCTCTTTCAAGCACAGCTGGCTCTTGTACTCTTGGACCTCGTTGATGGATCAAAAGGTACCGCTCGCACACCTCGACCGACGCAGCAGCGGTGAAGTTACCAAATATGGAAATACCTTTGTGCGTTCGCCAACCTCTTCCGGCCACATCTTTGTCGTCTGGCAACGTGCAGGCTCGTTTCCCCGTACGTATATAGCGCCCAAGCGCGCAACCCGGTCGAAGCAGCGTGCAGTCGGCGCGACTCACAGGACTGGCGAGTCCTTGTTTACCTCCGAGTATATAGTTCTGTGCCCTTGTATTTTCGTGGACCCATACCCTTCGACATCCCCAACTCTACTTCGTTCCTCCCTGCTCTTGTCTGTTCGCTTACACCCCTCGCGCACTATGCGCTGTGGGTACTTCCTCCTCGCGCTTGCTGCGTGTCTTCTCCGTACGTCCATTTACCGTCGCAGCTCAGGAGATATGCTCAACGATGAATGAAACGCAGAGCTGAGCCTCGCCGCGTCGCTCCCGGTGCGACCCTCTGCTTCTGTGATAGTGGAGGCGCGTTGCCCGCGGATGGAATGCCGGATCGTACGTAAATCCCTGTTCTCTCTGCTACATCCATTGACGACAGTGTGTCTAGGCTGAACCTGCGTCTGCAGTCACAGCAACCCCGACATTCGTGCCGGCTGCAGCAGCGACGGCCACCACCGTCGACTCTGCATCCACTCCGGCTGCATCGACTACGGCTGTACCCACAGCGTCTGGCAGCGCCCAGGTCGCGTCTCTGCGCAACTTCCTCGTCGCCTTCATGGAAGCGTTTAAGACGGCGTTTACCGCCATGCGCAACGCAGACGTTGACGCGACCGTGAACAGCGGGTCCTCCGAGCCTCTGGCTCTTGTGTCTGCTTCGGCAGATCTGCCGGAGAGCACGTCGCTCGCTGTTCGCCAGATCAGCCGTAGGGCGGTCTCGCTCAAGACCTTCAACCACCACTACAGGGTCGGACAAGCAACTCATTGAGAACCCCCAACTACCCACTGCAATCCGCACTCCCAATCATAGCTCGACACACGCCGCGCGTGTCCGTCGATTCTGCGCAACCTCAACCTTATAACCCGCCCATCACCTCGGCATTCGCGCTCTCCCCGACCTCGGGTTCGGGTTCAAGGCCCTTGACCGAGCATACCTAAACCCCGCTCGCGAACGGATGAGTGTCGAGAACCCTCCCTGTTCCACTCCTGAACTTTGCATCGTCTCCCATGTAGCCCCATTCTCCGGATCTGCCTACTATCACGGACTCGTCTGCTGTCTAGGCCCGCCACATGCAAACCGCATCCACACATACCTACTGTAGCGCCTCAATCCGCTTAGTACCATGCATCGCCCTTAATACGGGGTTCTCACTCGGGTCACTGTCACACTGTACTGTACTTAGGAATACCCGCAGATAGATGCACACACATTTGGAACCATACACCGCCTGCATGCTCTCTCCTGGACTCTCATGGAATCCCAACACCGCTCTCTCGCTCATCCAATCGTTATGTTGTCTCGTATCTTACATGTGAAGGGACCTGCTGTGCAGGTTGCTTCGGTGTAGCTGTAGCCATAGCCCAAGTGTATCATATGTTGCTTCCTGAACTTGCAATCCACCAGTCGTGATGTAAAGTTGCGTGCACAATGCAGATACAGATACAGGAGAATAATCAATACTACGACACCGCAGCGTAGCGATCGAATACATGAAAGTCGGAACACAGCACTCACAACCTCTCGCATGGAATTGACACACGGATTCACCCCCCTCCTCAATACTCCTATGAGCAAGCTCAGTGAAAATCACATCAGAACGGGATACGTCTATCATACCTCTTCCACCAGTGTCTCTCCCGACATACCGGAGCCAGCACTAGCCAGCCTAGCCATTCTCATCCTAGCCATCTCCTCCCACTTTGCCACAGCGAACGCGATCTCCATCTTCAGAATCTTTGCCATCTCTCCGTACTCTTCGTCGGTAGTCGGGCGCGAGCGCTGTTCGACTTGTACCCAGCTGGCGCTACTATCAAGGTCTGCCCTTAGATGGTGTCCACGGCGTCGACGGTGTCGGCGTTGCGAGATCACGGTTAGCGAGTCGCGGTGTGGGATGCTGTACTCGAGAATCGCCGACTCGCTGGGTGTTGGGAGTGAAGGTGGTGTGACATAATCAAGCCGGTGGTCGTGGTGAGCGATGTCTCTCGGGTGCGCGAGGCGGTGGGCTGCGCGGGACACGCGGGCGCGAAGGAGAGCGGTCTGGAAGGATGCTCGGGCTTTGAAGAGGCGGAGACCTTCAAGCTTCTCGTCGCGGCCACTGCTACTGCGGATGCGCGGGGTCGACTGAGTAGAGCTGGTAGAGAGGCGCATTCTGATGGGTGGTGAGCTAGGGATAGGAAGCGAGATGCTTGAGTTGGTAGCTGTGGCCCACGCCGGCTTATGTCCGCACTGGAGGCATGTCTTGGACGGGATCTGTCTCAGCTTCAGACTGGGACTGGTCTGTTACCTGAGCAACCAGGCTCGGCATCGCCGGCAAACGGTACTCCTGTCTTCAGGACAAGACGATGTCAGCATTCTAACCGGTCAACAGGCCACAGGGGCGACAAGTTGATGAACGAGCAACCTATGGGCGGACGAGCTTGACGTACAAAGACGACGTTGCCGTCGCGCGCTTTGGCTGCACAGGCTTGACACAACGAATCGCGACGGGCGACGAATGTACGGCATCGTTCAAGCTGACTGTGACGCACCGCCGTGTGGCACCGTTGATTGTCAGCAAGCATGGGATTGTGTAGAAGTTGTCTGAGGCAGAACAGAATGCGCAGATCGGGCGCACGAACGTCGTATCTGATCGTGACGCGAGGGAAAGGTTCAAGTAAGATGAAAGATGAATTCAATGGTCTGCGATCTGGAAAAACGGCCAATTGTATGCTGAGCGGGCGAGTGGCGGCCGTCCGCAGGCGGTCCATGGACCAGAGGGTGCGGACTGAGGGCGCCGCGAAGAGCGCGATGGCGCACTGCGCCCTCCGAGCTGACAGACCTCACCGAAGGAGTCCGCTCGCTAAGAAGACGTGCGCAACACGTTGCGACGACGCGATGATAGAGCACATTGCATCCAGGGTAGCAGTCGCGAAGGAATTGGAACTCTCCGAGCTTACACGAAGACAGTGACTGGGAGCCTCGAGGTTACGACGCCCGGAGGGCGCATAGTCCGTACACTGACAGAGACTGCCGTGTCCATGTCGTCTTCTTATCTGCGCAGATTACAGACGGGCGCGTGATGTTGACATGACATTGTGCTGACTTGAGCAAGCGGGTTTGCAGGGACTAGCGCCGCCCACGCGAAACACTCCCCCTTGGAATGAAGTGCACAAGGTAATGAAACCCCGAGGATACGCAAGTATACACTGTCGGGATACCCCAGATGGAGACGTTTTCCGACGATGCGTAAGGCTGACAGGGCTGCGTACATACGGGCCAGGCCGTAAGAGACCCTTAAGAGGAAATCGCGCCGCTGGCGAGGTGGCGCCGCGACCCGCAGGTTGATCTGCAAGCTGAATGAGCGACACCGGAGATCGTTCGTCAGCAAATGCAGTCCGGTGTACAGTCTTGCGATCCAATGCGAGGATCTGGAGGGCGAGGATGAACGGGAGACGGTGGGCTGCACAGCAAGGATCCGGGGACACGGGAGGAAGAAAGGTGCCGGCAGCCGGAGTTGCCTGCGTGTAATATTCTCGAGCAAACTTTCAGAAGAAGCTGGGACTGTGGTCTGTGGCTGAGTGCATTGCTGTAGCAATCAGACTACGAATCTGGCACACGGATGGCATGGTGGTCGGGAGAAGGATAGAGTAAGATTGAGTATGACGCGCGACCGGATGGCTTTCGACGAGAAGTCGCGACTCAGGGGTGGCATTATTTCGCGCCTTATTCATCAGGCTCTGCTTAGTATAACTAATCGCGGACGCTCCCTCGTAAGAACACCCGCACTCTCCATTCGCCCCGTCCCCTCTGCGACTCTATCTTCGCGCTTCCATCTACCGCTGTCCCCTTTGCCTGCCAGCCCAGCCCAAAGCTACACCATGAGCGGCCGCAAAGTCAAGCTTGTGTACATTTCCGACTACGTGCGCCCACAGCTTCTCGCTTACTTGCGCAGTCTGCTAATATCCCGCTCGCACAGACTTGCCCCTGGTGCTACATTGGCTACAAGGAGCTGCAGAATGCTATCAAGCAGACACCCCAGCTGGGCTTCAACTATGAAATCGACGTTAGGCCATTCACCCTGGCCAGCTCGGAGAAGCAGTGCTCCGGGATCGACAAGGAGGAGGCGATGGTGAAGAAGTTTGGCCGGGAACGCTGGGAGAACTGTAAGAACGTCGTTATCCAAAAGGGCCAGGAGGTCGGCATCGAGTTGTGAGTTTATTCACTGCTATCTTGTTCACCGGCGTACTTTGTTCCCTGTCACTCGGGAAGTACGGGTGGAGTTTCACTGCCGCAATCAGAGTTTGGACTGCTCTGTCCCCGCACCTGTGCGGGAAGACGCTGTCAAGTTCTTCGCTCTGTCCTCTTGCGCTCGCTTTGCCGCGGATGCTTGCAAATGCGGGTGGCGAGAAGACGGAGACGGAGATGTAATGCCTTCGGATTATCCGTCGGTTCTCTGTGTGAGAAGTCCGGCGCCGGCGGCACGGCGCGTGCTTCTGTGTGGCAACCGAATACTTCTGAGCTTCCATGCTGACATTTGTTCGACGTTTTCAGTGCGATGGCGGGACCGCTCAGCCAGACGATGCTCGCGCATCGGTTGATGGCAAAGGCTCAGATTGTCGCCGGCACCGAAGGCCAGCTGAAGCTGCTGCAGGCCATCTTCAGCGCCTACCACGAGCAGGAGATGGATATCGGCTCGGAAGATGTCTTGGCCGAACTGGCAGAAGAACAGGGCATCCTCTCGCGGGATGAGGTGCGTGTAGTTTTCGGCCCCTGCGTTCACGGACCTGCGAGTTTCTGATCTTGATCTGTGTGAACTTGTTCAGACACTAGCGTTCCTCCAGTCAGACGAGTTACTCGTCAAGGTCGACGACCAGATCAAGGAGGCCCGCGCGAAGGGCGTCCAGGGTGTACCATTCACCATTATCGACGGCCGCTGGGCAGTGTCAGGCGGCCAGCCTGCACCCGTATTCGTTCAGGTGAGCTTACTTCGCACGGTCGGCGTTAGGTGATAAGATGGGCTACGGCCTCATCTTAGTCCCCCTACACTCTGTCAGCGCGTTTGTCAGGCATAGACATCTGACGTTGATTCCGTAGATCTTCAACAAGCTCGCGGCTGCATGCGGCTGTGCAGGCCAAACGCACGACGCCCCGACTCCCAAGGCTGTCCACGATTGCAGCAAGACGTGCAACGACGGAATGTGCCAGGACGCTGACGGGCCTACGTGCTCGTAGCGCCCCCTCCCACAACTGTTGCGCCTCTCCCTCCCTCATCACCCATCCCTACGCTATGCCTCCTAAATCCTGTTTCTCTCATGCCATCGGAATACTGTGCCGTCATAATCTCCCCCTCCCTCTGTACGCCGCCCGCGCCGCCTTGCTTGCATGTGCCATACGACCCTCCTTATCACACGGTTACCCCTTCTGCTATCCCCTCCACGTCTGTAGTATCGCGCTTCGCTTGCTTCCATGTTATGTTTTCTCTTTCCCTCAACTTATCTCCTGTTCCGTTTTTTGTCTACCTACTCTCTCCGGTTGTTTCGCGCCCAACGAGTCCCTTTTTACTTCTTCCTCACTACTCGGACGGCTGTTTATTACTCCGTCTGTGGATCGTGGTGTGTGTAGACTATGCAGTGCGCCCTTCGAAGCACCCACAGTTCTTCCAAACCTTTGCGTATCGCGCAGGCTATGCGAGCTATCCAATTGGGTCATCAACAGCGCGTAACACCCGTTAGGTGCCTGTGACGAGACGCGACTGCTGTCACGGATGCTGACTTTACCTGATTATGCGGTGCCGCTGCGCGTCATCCTTTCCTCGTTCTTGTCCTCGACCGCATCCACGCGCCGCGCCTACAGCCAAGCACTTCATCTTCCGCAGCTGAATTCGAAGCAAGGTTAACTATATATGTGAAAGTTCCAATCTCCAAGCGGTTACCGCATCTCTCTTGTCATGCACGCGGTTCCCGTGTTCGACACCCATGTTGTTCTGCCACTCCATATAGCTTCAAGCCTCCCGCGATACGAACCATTGTTCCCAACGGCCGTCGCTTGTCAGCATGGGCGGTAATGAATTTACCGAAGGTGGAGTGCGCTCGGGCCGCCGTCGCTTGGCCACATCCGTTCCCTCGTTTTTCGCTCGTGGAGTATGATGTCACGGATGTGCGGTGGATGCGAGGTCTGTGTCAACATCGGCTCGACATCCGCGCAGTTCCGCGTATAACTTACCACCGGTCGACATGCCGACTTTCCTTCGAACCGCCTCGACGACGTCGCTCCCGACGCGCTCTGTGTTCTGACCCTCGCCCGCGACTTGCCGCCCAATCAAGACACGATGGCCATATTCAGTCATGAACGCCACCACTGGGCGTACGTGTGGATACCCATTTTTGGCTCGTTCGTTTGGGCAGGTAAGACGCGCACGCGACCTCTAATCCCACTCAATACTCGACGCTAACCGCCTACAGGCATGCTCGTCGCGATGATATCCGTATACTATGCCCAAGGCAAAGGGCCTTACTTCTGGCAAGACTCGAGGATACCATACATTTCCGACATCGGCGCCTCGTTCTTGCAACCGCTCTTCATTGCGGGGTCATCTGTGACATCAGCCTGCTTCGTTGCTTCGCTGGCCATCGAGCGTCTCCTGCGGCATCACGGTCGGTTACACGCCGACCTTCGCAGACGGGAGAAATGGTTTAGCTACCTTGCCATCCTTGGCGCCGTCATCGGTGCAGTTGGCCTCATCACCCTTGCATGCCGTAACGACCGCGACCACAAAACGCAGCACGATATTTTCCTGCTGGTGTTCATTGTCGGAGTCGCACTCAGTGCCATCTTCACCATCGTCGAGTTCAGGTGGATAAGCAAGAACTACCACTGGGTCAGGAAAGTCCGGAGGGCATATATGGCGAAGGCGTTCATTGCTGGGATCCTTATCCTTGCTGCCATTGCGTATGCGATCTGCTTCACGATTGCCACGAACGCGGGAGGTGCGTCTGCTTCCATTTCTGTCTGCGGGTCAAGACTGACGTATACCGCAGCAATCATCGAGTGGATCATTGCCTTCGGGTTCACCTTCTACCTTCTCACCTTCGCGTACGACCTTCGTCTATCGAAGGGCGTGCACAAGTTCGAGCTGTCAGGACGTGAACCCAACGCACCACCGCCGGCTATGCGCACGGCCGAGAACAACGGTGCACTATACGGAAATGGCTATGGCAACGGCGCTACCACGAACGGCTATGGCAACAGCCCGGTGTCCGCGGGCTCAAAGTACCATCCGCATGCGAACAGGAGAGTGTAGAGGAGTGTGGATTAGACGCAGTCGCATCACTCTCGGCTTGGGTTGGACTCTGCACGACATGAACGAATAATACCGACATTTGCTCGAACGGTTGTATAATATATACCTTGTACATGGCCCTACATACTTCGCATATCATATAGAATCCCAGCACCATGCTGGTAATGCAACACTTACGCGTGCCAGTCGGTGTTTTTGTGCAAACAACAGTGGCACGGCGCTGGCTGCGTAAACGCCGGTGCTGAGCGGACTCAAGCTTTGACGCGAACCACCACTATCGAAAGTTGTTCATCCCTGTTATAGCAACGCAGTGTTTCCCGTCATACCCGAAGTGACACCGGTACATATGCCAACCTGACTGTATTGTCGGGCGGCAGAGTCCGCGGGAGCCGCGTGCTGCTTGAAGATCCCAACCGCCGTCGATCATTCGGTCTGCAAACCACCGTCAGAGCCTCGATAGCTAGGTGCGTCGCTCGCACAGTCTATCACACTTACCTCTCTGACTCTTATATCCTAGTGATGGCGTCGACGGGGATCCTGAGCCTAAAGAACGACACCCTATTCGAGCTCTTTGCGCTGGTCGCAGCGACAGATCCGCCACATGCGTTGCCGTGGGGGGATCCCGGACCTCTCAAGTACCACATCGGCTGGGTGCGACTATCTCACGTCTGCCGACTGTGGCGAAAGCTACTCGTCGATGAGATGCCGAGCTTGTGGGCTCGCATTGCGTGTCGACTACCCCGCGCGCTCGACACTGTACTCTCGCGTGCCCAGGACCAGCCTCTGATATTGACCACCGACATCACCTGGGGATCAAGTCTGAGGCTCCCTCCAAAGCATGACCTTCACGATCGCCTATACGAACTCTGCATCACGCACATTACTCGCGCAGGCAACTTGGATGCACAAAATGTGTCAATGGACTGGGTGGGGCCCCTGAGCGGTAAATACCTACCGCTGCTCAAGAAGATCGATGCGTATCATCTCCGGCCATGGGGCGACCAGACTCCTACAGCCTCTTTGTTTCCTCTCGACGCTCCGAACCTCAAATCGGTTAGACTACGGGACATCGCGGTGACATTCACGTCGCAGTCGATCCGCGAGCTCACGCTTAACGGGCGGGAAATATTCTCTCATGAGCAGTGGTCTTTGATCGACGTGCTGGGGTCCCTGCGCACGTCGCTCGAGTTTCTCGAACTAGAGATGCGCCCGCCAAAGGCGATAAACTGGCGAGCCCAGGCCACAGCGCCCTTCACCCTCGAGCGTCTGAAGCATATCCACTTGTACGGCAGTGGAAATGCCAACCTCACCGAGCTCGTCACTCTCTTAGGTGTGACGGTGCCTCTCGAAGACCACAACTACTACGCGCATCTTGAGCCGGAAGGGTGGGAGCGCTTCGTATATGGATTCGGACCCATCCTACGCCAGCCATCGTTCAACGCGCTACACCTCACGGACGACGGCAGGGTGTTTGCGAGCACGTTTGTTGCCATCGAGAACCCCGAGCATTACCCGTCCAGCGCATCGCAGGAGGCTAGCCTAGAAGTCGAGTACGCGGGCGACGGCGCGAGAGCGAAGGCTATTACAACCGGTCTACTGAAGCACCTCGAACACCCGTGTATCGAGCAGATCATCTTCGCAACGGATGCTCCTGACGAGCGACTCGGCGACATCCGTGATGCGCTTCGTCCCTTCGAGGCCGTCACATCGTTCGCCGCGCTCTCGCATCATTCGCTCAAAGTACTGCGCGCTGGTGACGATGATCACGGTCCCATCCTCCCGTCCTTGTCGCTGCTTGTCGCTTCAATGGAGGAAAAGTACGGCGACGACAAATGGGATGCTGAGAGTCTAAAGGCATGGTGGGATATGCTGTGCGATATACTCGAGGATCGCGTCCGCGCTGGTCTAACAGCTCCCCGCATCCGGTTATGCAGCAATGCGACGCCTATTGCTGTGACGGAGGCCTTGAAAGGGGTAGACGAAGAGGGACTGGCGCGACTGAAGGAGCTTGTGCCGGGGCTTGAGGATACACGCAAGATCTTCGAGGCAGCCAAGAAAGAATCTCCGTAATGCTATACATGTATACTTGTACCACGTCTTCGACCATCACATATCGTACACGCATGCTTTCAAACTACCAGCCGATGCCACTGCATACTTCCGAGCCTGACACTCGAGTAAGTATCCTGCATAGGCATGTGAGCTAACCTTCCCCCGAGAACAACATGCGCGTACCTTTCTTCACTTTGATGAGGACTTGTGGGTATAACCATTGGGAGCCGTATACGTCGAGGATCCCTTGCCGTCGTTGTGGTACGTAGACCCGTTCGGGTTGCTGTAGTGGTAACTACCATCGCTGTATTCGAGGCACATCGTCAGTCGAGGGCTTAAGCAGATAGACACCAGCATGCGATGTACGAGTTCGTGTAGTGATAGCCGGTACCGCCATTATCGTACGAGCGCGAGCAGTAGTGATTGCCCTGCGTACTTATCGTCAAAGCTGTACGGAGCGAGAACGCCGATCGAGAGGAGACGTACCTGGCTGTTCGTGCCCGAAGACTGGTACTGGTAAGAACCGTGGTGGCTATTGTTCGGCATCGTAAGAAGGAGCTCAGGTGAAAGCGATGAGCTAAGAGTGGGCTGGAGGGCAAGGGAGAGCAGGTAGTCCCCGCCTTCCATAGTCATGTGCGGTATTTAAACCTTTGCCTCCGTAGAGGCCGCCCTGACGTTGAGGGTAGCTGTCCGTAGCTCTCACGCGGTATGACTCGATACAGGGCGCAAAGGGTACTGACTACGTTCTTTCTCGAGCCGTCCAGGCTAAGCGTGTGGGAATAAACGGCGATGTCGCTGTGCCAGATAAGTCATGAAGAAGCTAGTGGCGTAGCACCAGAAGAGAGAATATATGGGCATGTGAACGTGAAACGGTACAATCGGCACGCCTTATCACGTACACTGAACCTTTCCTGGGAGCATAGTATGTTCTGACAATCAACAGGACGTGAAGAGTCTGTACGATCGCGAATGTCTATGTATCCGGCGCTTTGTGTTTCAAGCACATGACCGCGATAGGACAAACATTGCGGCACAGACTCGGAGGGGCTCCTGGGCTCGAACACTTGCTAATTGCCCATGCATGGGGATAGTCGAGGCTTCTCAAGTGCATGCCCGAATGACTACTAAGAATCGGCTGTTCTAGGAATCGTAAAGACGATGAGCGTTAGAACGAAGCCGAGCATGGGAGTCCCAGGGACGCGTCTTTGTTCGGCTCAGCCACGCGATGCGCACGCTAAACGCGACGGCCGTCTCGTCGGTTCTGATTTGACATCTACGTGTCATCATGCGTCGCACTCGTCTCACACAAAGGTCTCAATAAGCCGTCGCATTCGTTAACGCTCGTTAGGAAAGATAAGATACGGTGGACACAAGACATCATGATGCCAAGGAGACGGTTAGAGCCCAATCGCCTGCGCAGCACTGGTCAACACCCGCGAGATCAAGATAAGGGCCACCGCACTGACGACTTGTGGCACCCGCCGGTGATCCTACTTTGAGGACGACTTGTGGACGTAGCCGCTCGGAGCGGTGTAGGTAGAAGAGCCCTGGCCGCTGTTGTAGTACGTCGAGCCGTTGGGGTTGCTGTAGTAGTAGCTGCCGTTGCTATAGGTGCCGAGGTTAGATTGTGCTACCCGCGAATCGCAAGGTGGACAATGCACGTACGAGTTCGAGTAGTGGTAACCACTGCCGCCGTTATCGTACGAGCGCGAGCAGTAGTGGTTGCCCTGCACGAAGGTGGGACGTCAGCGCTCAGCGGGTACCCGCGCGGACAAGAACAGCGGAGACGTACCTGGCTGTTGGTGCCAGAGGAGGTGTAGGAGTAAGAGCCGGAGTTGTTGTTGTTGTTAGGCATCTCGAGGAAGGATAAGATCAGAGAGGTGATATAAGGGACAGTGACGGAGGGGTGAAAGGAAGAGGCAAATGCCCTGAGGGAGCAAGCCCAGCGCGCGCGGTATTTGTAGGCAAGCGGGATTATTCTCGCGTGCGGCGGCCCGTCGCATCTCGCCTCGCGTATGCGTTCGCATCACGCTTACGAGGCGTTGAGACAAAGGTCGCTGGAATTCTAGCGAGCGCAAAGAGAAGATCAGACGACAAGGCATTATGCCGGTGAAGGGCAGGACAGTGACCGTTGGATCAGGGTGCTGCTGAGTGACGTCGACTATACGAGCAATCCCAGATACGAGTCGGACAACCCATAACGCGGCGGCAGGTGAAGGACGAATGTATTAGATAGACTACAAGAGACCAACGGTAAGCGTGGCTCTGCATCCGAACGAGTAATGAAGTGACTGATATGAGATAGGTATCCAGTCTATGTAGCCTCATGCCGATCAGTAGAACTGGCATCCATCTCGACGAACGGGTATACGTCTTCAACATCCTTCTCACCAGTCCCAGCCCCGGTAACGCCCATGACCATATACTGCTTCCCCATCCCCGTCAGATCCACCAGCCTATCCGCAGCACTTTTGATCGCGTCGCCCCGTCCAGCATTCGCTGACCTCTGCAGAGCCTGTACGCGCATATCCAGACCCATGCGCGTCAAGAAGTCGCGCTGCGACAACGGGCCGTGAACGTGCACTGTTCCGGCCATCGCTTCGCGAAGGTATGCGAAGTCGACGTTCACTGTCAGGTCGCATTGGCCGGGGAGGTAGAATGGGTCGACTATCTTGTGCTCTTTGAAGGCCTGGCGATGAGATGTCAGGTTTGAAATATACGTGACGAGGAAGGGAGGTACTCACGCGGAAAGAGTCTCCAGAAGCGTGTGCTTTGCCGTAGTCGACGATCAATCCGGCACCCTTCCGTCCGTCTCCACCTACGACTTCTCCGACCTTCCGTGCGATCTTGAAGCCAGTAGCAGATACCTCCAAGCGTGCACCAACGGGCAAGGAAGCGAAGCGCGGCGAGGATGACCCGAGTAAGGAGGATATAGGCGAAGGCGCTGATGACAAGACGGGTCTAAAGCGCGGCCCGTTCGAGTGTGTCTGGGGCAGAGTCGTGTCCACGCTCAAGTCGGCTCGTGGTGTCGACAGGGCGTCGGAGGGTCGGAGAACGGTCTTGGCGGCTGGGTCTGGCCCGGCCGTCAACATCACTTCCTGCCAGCCTTGTGCAGTTTTCTCGAGCAGATGGAAGGGGAGAGCGTCGAAGAACTCGTGGGCGATGAGCATGGTGTACGCGTCGTCATCTAGGGGCACAGAGTCCAGCGAGTCATGCCATGATATTGACTTCGAGTACACGTCGAGGGTCTTGGCTTGTACGTCGCGGAGACCTGTGCTATTCTCGACGAGGTGGACGGTCTTGCGAACTCCGGACGTGACTTTGACCTGGTTTAATGTCTGCGAAGTACATGAGCATACAAATACTTCCACGCGGCACACATTGAGAAGCTTACCCTAAGTACGTCGCTCATGAGCGTTCCGCGACCAGGTCCGAGCTCAATGAGTTGTATGTTCTTCCCGAGCGCACCAGCCTGAGCATATTGGGAGAGCAACCACACGCTGACAAGCTACTGAAGCTGTGTTCAGTATCCTCCTTACGCAAATAGATAGAGCTGTACCCACTTCACCGAAGACCTGGCTGATCTCGGGACTTGTTACGAAGTCGCCACGAGCGCCGAAGATGGGGTTGGAGGGGTTCATGTAGTATCCTTCATTGGGGTGGGCGAGGCACATTTGCATGTAGGTTGCGAAGGATATAGGGCCATTCGCCTATGCGTATACCGTCAGAGTCCTATAATGCACCAGTGGTTGAGTATAGACATGCCTTTATTTGGTCCAGCAATAGCTTCTCTACGGGTGTGACAGGCCCGACCTGTGGCGCCGACACCGCATAGGCTCTCCTTCCGACAATATTCCTCCCAGCCGCCAATCGGACATATGTCCGAGCATCTACACATGCTCGTCTCGTTACAGCAGCAAGCATGACTCGATTCCCCTGAGGCTGTCACTGGAATGGGAAGTAGAAGAGCTGAGTCGAGGTGATGGTCCGGTGACGAGAGGCGGTTCGAACGCGTCTCGGTGCCGCGAGCCGCATGTCAGCGCTTCAATAAATTTCGGAAGTTTACAGCTTGGCTCTGCACCTTCACCCCTCGGCCTCTCCGCTCGATCTCTACTCCTCCTCGCCGCACTTTACCTTTTCGGTAGCTTCAGGTTACACACAACTAGACTCGCCGCTAGATCCCCTATAATCATGGCTACCCGTACGCTCTTTTGATCTGTGCTCCTGAGTAATCTGTGAGACTAATAACGATGTTCTTTGCTCTATAGGTATCCAATTCGAGAACAACAGCGACATCGGTGTCTTCTCCAAGCTCACCAACAGCTACTGCCTGGCTGCAATTCAAGGCAGCACAAACTTTTACTCCGCCTTCGAGGCCGAGCTCGGGGATGTTATTCCCATCGTGCACACCAGCATCGGTGGCACCCGCATCGTTGGGCGTATGACAGCAGGTATGTATTCTTGATTACTTGATCGATACTGTAAGTATTCACGCAATTCATTGTGTAGGTAACCGACATGGACTGCTCGTCCCCTCAACGACTACCGACCAGGAGCTTCAACACCTCCGCAATTCCCTGCCCGACGCCGTCGCGATCCAGCGCATCGAGGAGCGACTATCTGCACTCGGCAACGTGATTGCATGCAACGACTATGTCGCGCTCGTGCACCCTGATGTCGACCGTGAGACGGAGGAGATCATCGCCGATGTGTTGAAGGTCGAGGTCTTCCGTCAGACTATCGCCGATAACGTCCTCGTGGGCTCGTATTGCGTCATCACCAACCAGGGAGGCTTGGTACACCCCAAGACAAGTATACAGGACCAGGACGAGTTGAGCAGCTTGTTGCAAATACCGCTCGTCGTACGTTTCCCTCCTTAGACGCCGGGTTGAGCGCCTGCTGATTGATGTACTCTCAGGCTGGCACTGTGAATCGTGGTTCGGATGTCATTGGCGCCGGGCTGGTCGTGAACGACTGGTGTGCGTTTACCGGTCTGGACACAACGGCGACGGAGATCAGCGTCATCGAGGCGACCTTCAGTACGCTCATCCCTATATTGCAACCCGAGCGCTTCTGACCCGCTATTCCAGAGCTCCAGGGCCAGGACTCGAACGCAGTCATCGGCGAGATGCGCGACACGCTCATCGACAACTGGGCTTAAGCAACTCGAACACCCATCATCATTGTATCATGTACCACAAATCTCCCTGTACTTGTCTCTTGCAATGCTTTGATATTTTCTCGCTGTTGGGATGGGTTTTCCGGAGTAATATTGCACGATCAATGTACAATCACATATCGCACCTCCTTGCGCTGGAGTTCACCCAGGCACACACTCGACTCCCTGAAGTGTAGGTAGACAAGACGATGGCTATATAGCAAGCGGCACTACAGCTGTGGCACAGCCGCCGGCCGGCGGGCAGCGACTCGCGTGTGGCCGGGAGCCCCTGACGCGCGCTTCCGCCGCATCAAGCGCCCGAACCTCGCGCGCTTATATGAACCGACGCGCCACAGCTTCCCACTCCCCACATCTTGCACCTTCACCACCACCATCCCATCACTATGACCGACGTGCTCGCAGAGATCAACGGTATTAAGCCCAAAGTTGTGCTCATCGACGGCGAAGACGTAGAGGTCGCGTCACAGACGAGGTGCGTTGGCGCGTGGTTGGTAGCGAGGACGCGATCTGAGACAGACGCGTCGTAGCACGTCGAAGTATAAGGCCAAGAGGACCATGGACCATTACTATTGGTCAGTACCACATCTCATCTGTGCTGGAGAGAGCTCTGACGCGCTTTGCTATAGTACTTGTCCGGTAAATGCGTTCATATTCGGCTTACGACGTGTTCATATACTGACGCGACGCGTTTCCGTCGCCTCCAGGCATGGAGAAACCAGGTACGCCTACCCCAACACCATCATCTTAAATTTCACTAACCACCTTTCTCAGTCTGGCGCACCGACTGACGCGCGCAGCTGCAAGCACCTCAAACAGCTTCTCGGCGAAGCGTACGAGGAGGCCCGCTGCGAACGCGCCGACCCCGTAGGCTACGCCGCACGTGCCGCAGGGAAAGGAACGGGGAAGAAAGGCAAGGCTGCACCGAAGACAGCGAAGCCCGCTGGCAAAGCCGCACCTGCGTCCAAGAGCAAGCCGGCCTCGAAAAGCAAGTCCGCGTCGAATGCCAAGCCAGCCTCAAAGGCCAAGCCTGCATCTAATAAGAGTGCTGGGTCGAAGCGCAAGAAGGACGACGTCGATGACGATGAGGACGACGAAGAGGAGGAAGAGGAAGCGAAGGGTGGTAGGCGTTCGAAACGTGCGAAGAAGGCCGACGACGAGGACGACGAGGAGAACGATGATAACACGAAGTACGACGTTATGCTCGCTAACAAGTGGGACATTGATAATGGTCCCGACCCCACTGGATGGTATGATGGTCCATTCGCTCAAATACGCATCGTAAAGCTCACACCAAACGTGTAGGTGGATCTCTGAGAAGCTTGATGGCGTTCGGTGCGTGTTCGGTTTCATCCGCATGGCTGCTACGACATGAATCTACATATTGACCGTCCATACAGCGCGTATTGGACCGGTAAAGCTTTCAAGAGCCGCCTCGGCAACAACTTTGTCGCGCCGAAATGGTTCACGGACAGTACGCCAGCATTACTTAACCTCTTCAATTCCTCCCTCATGCGTCGCAGAGCTTCCTAGCGATATTACACTCGATGGAGAGCTCTTCACCGGACGTGGAAATTTCCAAGATACGGTGTCCATCGTCAAGACGATGAACTCGCCCAAGTGGAAGAGCGTGACGTTCCAGGTACATTCATACCTTCTTGAGATAAAAATCCGATACTTATTCTGAGCGATGCAGATCTTCGACATACCCTCTTCCGGAGACAAGGTCTTCGAGGCGCGCATGGCGGAGATAAAGAAGCTGTTTGGCCCTGGCGGACAGTACGCGTGCGATGAAGTCGTCGTTGTGGCCCATGAGCAGGCGCAAGATCGTCAGCATGTCCTGGACAAGTTGAAAGAGGTTCAGGAGCTGGGCGGTGAGGGGTTGATGTTGCGCAAGCCCGGCTCGTGAGTCCTCCGTCCATCCAGTCGACGCTCGACTGAGTACGTGTCTGTAGGCAATACGAAGCTCGGCGTACAGCATCTCTCCTGAAGGTCAAGGTAAGCATAGAAGCCCTCTTATATTCTGTCCTTGATGCTGAAGGGCACGTGCAGACGTTCTTTGACGCCGAAGCCGAAGTCATCGGATACGTGAAAGGCAAGGGCAAACACGTTGGCTCAACCGGCTCGCTCACATGCAAGATGGAGTCCGGGAAGGTACATCAACCGGTCATGAGTTTCTTGCATCCCCCGCTGATAGTTGTGACTAGACCTTCAACGTCGGTACGGGCCTTAGCGACAAGCAGCGCAAGAACCCTCCCAAAATCGGCTCTATCATCGTTTATCGCTTTCAAGAGCTTACTCGGGACAAAGTTCCACGGTACGCTATGGCCGCCCGCGCTCTTCATCGTGTTTACTAATACCTGTTTCAGCTTTCCCTCGTTCGTGTCCATTTTTATCGAAGCTCGCGATCGACGACTGATAGTTTCTCCAGGTTCCAGGGCATCGCCGCTGACAAAGTCAAGGCGAAGGACGCGGAGATTCCGCCCAAGAGGGCCATGGATCCCTCGGGCGACGTGTAGTCTCACAAGAACTCTCTCAACACGTTTGTGACGTCGCTTGCTACTTATAGACATCGCTCGTACGGACTTATATGCTATCTGTCATGTACCATTTTCACACAAGCCGGAGGGCATAATCATACCCAGTGCTTGATAATGCTATATGCCCCACTATCGCACAATACCGCGCTCGTCCTCACGAGCGTCTAGAAGTGACTCTGCACCATGGCCTCCTTCCCAAATACCGTCACAGGATCAGCCCACGGAGGCGACACACCTCCCTCGCTATTCGGCGGGATGTGTCCGGCATCCATCGCCTCCTGCACCGCGTCCCTGAACTCCTCCAGCTGTTTGAACTGATCATACATCCCCTGCGCGTTATTCGCGCTCCATCGCCATATAGCTTGACAGAGCGGCAAGTCGCGCAGGATGCTCTTGAGAAGGGGCATCGTGATGCTCAGAGGGGCGCCAGCAAGAAAAAGGCGGTCGAGTGCATATTTCTTGTGGATGCAGTGATCTTCGTCGTCTTTCGGGTACTTGTCTGGAGCGAACGTGAGTGTGTACGAGGCGCGGGATGATCGGAGTGAAGCTTACCCGCGGCTTGACTATACAGCTTTGATGCCTTGATCAGGTTCGCGTGCGCTTTTGCGCGCTCTTCGCTGGTTTTGGGTTTGTTCTCCGTCACAACTTTGGTCCAGTAGAAGGCTTGGGCTCTGCAACAGACTATCAGAGAGGCGATACGGACGGATGCGGACTGCACTCACGAAAGCGCGTTGCCCTCGATATAGTCACCGAAGGCCAACCTGAACCCAGGTGTGGCCCCTTCCGCCACAGGGTGAGCGCGCGTCTCTTCAATCTGTGCCGTGGATAGCTCGAGCACGCCCTCCAGCGTTATCTTTGGAGAGGGTTGGTCTGGATTCCATGCCTAAGCATGTTGAGTCGATGTAGAAACGAACAGGCGGTCAGAGATGGCTTGCCTTCATGTATGCATCTAGATGGAGACTCCGTACGCCGCGAATGAAGGTGTCCTCGAAGATAACACCGCGCTCCTCTTTCGGAACGTCGGCCCATTCTTGGCGTCCCCACTCGAGGATGTCGAGAGCCTTTTGGTACATGTCGACGCCGGCGCTGTAGTCGCCCGTGAGGCCCGCTGTGAGGAAGCCTCGTATGATGAGTATCCTAGTAATGGTCAGATCTTGGGACCTTTACCGGATGACGATGGCGATATGACTTACCGCACGCCCGTCGTGATTGCAAGACGGGAGACATCATGACCTCCTTTTGCGTGTAAATCTCGTATATCGTTCGTAAACGTGGACGGTTCAGACAGGAGGCTCTCCGGAACATGCGTTTCGTTGCGCTCGAGGAGGACTGAAACATTCAGAGTCAGGGAAAGTAGACGATGATTGAGATCGTGGTCGGGTTCACTCACTTTGCTTGTCGATGCTCTGAAGAAACTGTGGATCGCGGATCGCAAAGCATCGTTGATCCATAATGACGGCGTTCGTGATGCACTCCAGTACCTATATCGTGCGGTGGTCAGTACGAGCTCTACTCGTAGTTCTCAGTGTGATACGTACACCTCTGATACCAGTGATCAGGATTCCACCAGTCTTTTGCTTGGATAGGAGTTCATGTCCGTCACTCAAGTCCTGCGTTACTTGTCAGCGCGTGAAGAAGTAAAAGGAACGGGTAGGATAACAGTACCTCTGCGGCCCCGGCAATCACGTAGGCCTAACAATCATAGTAAGACATGGGGCGCAGTGTGAGTCGAGACGGACACGCACACTACTATCTTCAATATTTTGCTCTTTGAGCCACGGCAACATCGCCCGAGCTCGCTGCCAGGGCAAGAGTTTACCCACGTAACGTATCTCGATTGGCTGCATGGTCGAAGCAATGTCACCTCTCTCATGCGTACGTGAGAGGCGCTCTTCTGCCTTGAGATTGTTCGTATAGTCGCGCCTCATCTTGTCGTTCGCCGCAGTTCCTGGGCTCGGGATGCTCGCTATTGCCTGTTTCCATGCGGATGCAGACCTCCCGTACTCTTGTATCCCCTGAACCCTGTGAGTCACCGAGTCTTGAGGACTGCAACTTTGAGGCCCTCACATGATATGCAGAGGCAAGGCGCGACCACGCCTTCGTGTACTTCGGGTCGAGTTCCGTGGCCTGTCCAGGGAGCATGAGCTGATTCGTGGCCAAACAAGGTGCATCACGCATCGTACTCTCGTAGCGTCTTGGGCAGCTCGTCCAAACCTGAGAAAAGTACGTATCGCAAGGTTCAGTACGCGCCAAATGCGCCTGAACTCTGTGCGTACTGCTCAAGACCAAGATATGATGCCGCGCGGTTGCAGAAGAGAACGGCGTTGGAATCGTCGAGTGCGAGAGCATCACTGTAGGCCTTCACCGCCTCGTTGTAGTTCTTTTCGACAAAGTACGCATTTCCTTTAGACTTCAACTCCAAGATAGTCTGTTCTTTCGTAGTCATGAGCCGTCCAAGCGTAGGCTTGCGCAATGCAGGTGGAAGTGGAAGCAAGAGACACGACGCGTCGCTCACAATGCGCGAAACGCTCTGCGGACGGCGGACGCGCCACAAACGCGGCCACGTGAGTTAACGGATCAACCCATTTCTACCGTACGTGTGAATGTGCAAGTCGATCGCGCAGTACATGCCACGTAAAAACGACTGATGACATATGACACATCGCTAGCTACGCATGCAATCGTTCAACAAGAATCACGGTGCGTCCTGGCCGACGGTATCGCCGAAGACATCCCTCGGAGCGGCCCACGGGGGAGAAACCCCGACGTTCATGTTGCAGATCCCCTTCTCCATCATCTCGTTGACTTCATCAATAAAACCAAACAGATCTTCGTATGGTTTGCCGCCTCCATTGCCGATGTTCATGCTGGAGAATTGCCAGATCTCTTGGGCCACAGGCAACTTGTACCGCACTTTCTCAATGACAGGCATGGTGATGAAGAGCGGAGCGCCAGCCGTGAACAGTTGGTCGAGGCCAATCTATGGCACAGAAGTCAGAGATGTTCTATGGCGCATGCGATCATACGGTTCTCACCTTGATATACCAAACGTGCCTCTCATCGTCCTGTGTTACGCCAATGTACGGTCAGACTCCTGACAATGCACGGCCGGATGCCCTTCGGCAATCACATACCTCGGGAAACTTTTCCGCTGCCGCAAAGTAGAACTTCGCCGACTTGCGCAGGTTATCCATCCCTCGCGAGATGGCGCTCTCAGTCCTAGGCTGCTCCTCACGAGTTACATGGTTCCAGTAAAAGCCGATATGCCTTTACACCGCGAGTCAGGGAAGTGTGAGGGAGATACGAGTCTCATCACGCACGCTAATGCTTCGCCTTCAACGTAATCGCGGAAGGCCATGTTGAAACCAGGTAATAGCGCCTCCTTCAAAGGCGGAAGTGCTTTCACTTCAGCCAGGATGCTCTCGGATTCCTCGAGCAGACCTTGCAAAGTGTGTTTACTTCTGTTCTCCCTGTTACTATACGCCTATATCGCAATCAATCTCCGGAGGTGACATAGACTTTCGGACGACTACGCACCTGCATGTAAGCTACCAAGCGTAGACGTCTCACTCCGAGAATGTAAGTATCTTCTAGCACTGCTCCACGATCATCCTTCGAAGCATTCGGCCACTCGTCCCGACCCCATCTCATGATCTTCAGAACATTGTCGTACAGATCGATAGCCTTGGCAAACTTTTGCGTCACACCAGATTCCAGATAAGCGCGACAGATGAGTGTTCTGAGCAGACCCGTCAGGGTGGGTGATTTTACGAGGCCAGTGAAAGCGTACCGAAGCCCCGCCGTCATGGCTCTGCAAGACAAGTCATGGCCACCTTGTGAGTGAAGTTCACGGATGCCGACGATGAATGCGTCCGCGTCGAGGATGTTCGAAGGTGTCCGTGCTTGAGTGAGTTCCATTTGAACTACACGATTTGATGAGTATGATGGTAGTATCAATGACAAAGGCATCTATAATCACTCTGTAGGTTCATCTTCTCTTGGAAGTCGCCCATGTCGAGCCGAAAGCATCGGTCGTCCTGGATCAAAGCGTTACAGAACATTTGCAGAACCTGACTCCCGCCTGTGAACATGAGGCGCAACACGCACATCGAAAGGACCTACACCGATCGTCCCGGATATCATAGGACCCATGTTTCTGACTGTAGCGAGCATGCGGAAGCCCTCCTCAAGTTCCTGTCACACCGAGTGTCAGTATATGTGAGCATCGAAGCTGGCGAACAGGGGCCTACTTCAGATGCTTCGGAGATGACGAATGCCTATTTGCTCAGTTCAAAAGATGACCGTAGCTGGGAATCATATACTCACGCTACTTCTTGTTATACCTTGTCTCTGCAACCGCGGCAACATCTCCCGTGCGCGGTCCCAGGGGTGTTTCTTCCCTTTAGAGTTCATAAGTAGGAGATTCGGGGCGCCCTCTACGCCCCGCTGCGCCATCTGTCCATGCTTTTGCGCCAGTCGTTGTGCCTGCGCCAGATTCTTCTTGTATTCTTCTCGGAGTCTGGCATTCGCAGGATCATCACCCCTCGCATTCACAAGGCTGAGAGCGCGCTCCCACGAACGCGCAGAGTTTGCGTAGGTTTGAAGTCCCTATGACGCTGTTTTAGCAAACGAAGAGTTCAATATGCAGGTAAACGCACGTGCTGAGCGGCTGCGAGCCTTGCCCAAGCCTTGATATATCCGCTGTCTAGCTCGCTTGACTGTTGACAGGTTATCAAGAGTGATGACGATATGATCGGAAGTGCTGCACCTTCATCGCATCTCGAGCAGCCAGCCCAAAGCTGCTCGGAATTGTCATTGGTTCATGACACAGGCAAGTGACGGGCAGGTGGCTGTCAACTTACGATTGAATGGCCAGGTGTGATGCCGCGCGATTGCAATAGAGTATTGCGTTTTCCTGGATTGCGATAGCATCGCCGTAGACCTTGATAGCCTCATCATACTTCTTTTCGGTGAATAACTCATTGCCTTTGGCCTTTAGTTCGGCGGCTCGTGCGGAGACATCGTCCGTCGAGAGATGACTCATAGCTTCAGACAAGTTCTGTTCAGTCGACATCACACAGAAAGGAGAAGAATTGCGATCAGGGATGTTGTCTGGGATGGTGGTGGTCAAGAAACAACAACCATGTCGGTGAGCGTCTCTCACGCGACGCGACACGCCTGAGGCACGCGTTGACGCGGTCATGTGGCTTCAATTTGCCGATATATTATATACAAGAGCGAAGCTGACTCCGCGGTGCCATATTCAGACAGGAATATCCCCGAAATACCTCTTCGGATCCGCCCATGTAGGTGCGACGTGCTGGTCTAGGGTGCACGCCCCAGTCGCGAGCATCGCCTTCACTTGGCTTTCGAACGTGGCGAGGTCATCGTAAGCTCTCTCCCTGCTGTCGGGATCTAGACCTCTCTCGCTAAAGCGCCAGATCTCCTCTGAGATTGGGATTCTAGTTCGTATAGTCTCCATGATAGGCAATGTGATGCGTAGCGGCTCTCCGGCAGAGAAGAGCTGGTCGAGACCAACCTGTGAATCAAGTTCTTGAGTTCAGTCTTACTGCATCGCGCGGAACAATCGTACCTTGAGGTACCCTGCGAGAAGATGTATTAGAGCAGAAGAAAGCGAAGGCATAATATTAGCTCACAGCAATGATTCTCATCGTCTTCAGGCAATGTCTTCGCAGCATTGCTATAGCACTCTGCCGCAAGCCTAAGGTTTTTCTTACAAGCATCGACAACCTCCGGCCTCTTCGGTGAGAGGAGCGCTACGTGATTATAGGTGAAGTAGCCTCTCAACCTATACGGCGAGGTCAGGAAGACCAATGCGATCAATGGCTACTGACCACTCACGCAAAAACTTCCGCCAAAATATTGTAAAAGAAGGAATAGCGGAATCCCGGATCCTCTTCAGCAGGAAGGCCGTCTCTAGCGATCTCGTTCGTAAGTTCATTTAGATCCTTCCCCAGGCCATCCAGGTTAATAATTCCGGTGTCTGTTGTGGATTGGCCTAGTGCCTAAATGGTTGGGCATGTCAGAGTCCACGTAGCGACAGCAGAAGACAAAATGCCGTCTCAGCAGAAGACCCACTTGGTGATAAGCCTGCAACCGCAACATCTTCACCCCTCGTATAAAAGTATCATTAAAAACAACGCCACGTTCCTCGTCCGGTACTCCGTGCCACTCGTTCTTACCCCATTCGAGAATGGTAAGAACCTTGTCGTACCGTTCCACTGCTTTATCGAATACACGCCCAGCTTTACCCATCATGAATGCGTCAATAATTCCTGCACTACTACGCGTGAAACACGTATAACTTCGCATCATCATGAGATTACTCACCGTACGCCTAAAGCAAAAGCCTTTCGTGATAGATCGTGACCACCTTCAGCATGTAACGCGCGAATGCCGTTGCCGAATGCTTTGACCTCCACTAACTCCTTAGGTGTGCGGCCTATGTTAAGCTCCATCTTCACTGTAGCACCATGATCAGTTGCCTCTCCTAATATGGGTCGCAACGTACTTTGAAACTCCAGATTAGGAAGTATGTCTTTGTAACTGAGGAAGAGGCTGCGCGGCTCGGCAAGTATGGCGTTTGATAGAAGTGACACTACCTATAGAGAGGGCATTAACACTGTACCGAGTAGCACGGTACGTCGAAAATAAACGGACTCCAGTCGCGCCTATACCCTTGTTAGGACCCTGAGCCCGGGCCAACGCCAGGAGAGCGATCACCCGTGAAACGGTCTAGTTATGCTCTTCAATCTGTGACTTCGACCGTTAACAAGACGTGTGGCATACCTGCCTAGCGCTGACCAGAGCATAAGCCTGTCAACAGCAGCTGATGGTCAGCGTTTCTCAGCTACCCACTGATGACGATTATCACACGTACACTACTCGTTGTGATGCCTCGCTGCAGGAGATACGGTATCATCTCCTGAGCACGATCCCAGGGAAATTTCCTGCCTTCTACGACGATCTGCAACTTGTCTGGATGGCCAGTAATCGGCTTCGACGCCTGCTCTAGACGAGCATGTAAGCGTTGCGCCTTTTTGTAGTGTTTCGTGTAGTCGGCGCGAAGTTTGGCGTTTGCTCCGTTGGCATCGTCCGAAGATATGCTGTCGATAGCCCGTTTCCAAGATCGGGCCGATTTGCCGTAGAGTTGCAGCGCCTGAGAAAGACTCAGTCAGATGTTATGTAGGTTCCGATGGATGTATGTGTGAGGCGAAATGCAACTACGCACATGTTGGGACGCAGCTAGTCTGTAGTAGGCTTTGGTGTATGACGGGTCAAGTTCGGATGCCTGATTTTATCAGATATTGGTCAGGGAACACGTGTGAACGGCCACTGCATCGCTCAGACATTTCATACCTTGGCCGCATCCTGGCAGGCCTTGCCAAAGCTGCAAAACGCATTCAGCGTCAGAGCGTTCTCGAGCAATCTGAACGAGGCGCTGCCCGATACGCACGCATGAAGGGCGAAGTATGAGGCAGACCGATTGCAATACAAGAGTGCATTATCCTTATCGATTGCAATCGCTTGAGAGTATAGCCTGATGGCGTCGTCATACTTCTTCTCCCCGAAGAGCTTGTTGGCGTCTGTCTTCAGTGCCGCAGAACGTTCTGTCACATCCTCGGTCGAGAGCGCGTGTATAGCATTGGAGAGAGATTCAACGGTGGACATGTTGGGGTGAGGGTAAGTTACAAAGATTACACGCTACATTTGCCAGAAGCGCAAAGAAGCGCGAATAACGCCCAGGTGGTGGTCGCGAGGCAAGCTTCGGGGTCGCGCCCCGATTCGAACTCGCGTCTCGGCAACTGCCGTTCGCGCCGTCTGCACTTCATCTGTGAACCGCAGCCGTACTGTGGGGTTTGGATCTTACGGCTGTAGCTAGGTACAGTGCGTTCTAAGTGAGATTCATGTTCACTCTTCATATCGCTTTCACGATACCACGTAGATTGAAGGCAATATCCCAGAGTAACGGGGCTGTAGATACGTTTAAATACGTCGATATGCCCAACATACAGCAGGGTTCACGGAGCATGCGAGAAATGCTACAAGCGGAAAATGATGATGTGTGGGATGCGGGATATTCGAGTCATGATGAATGTACGAACGAATGGATGGAGGTGTGCCACGTCACGGGAGAACAGCAAGGAAGAGCGCAAGCAGAGCAAGACGTAGTAGGTAGGGACCGGATAAATTAGGAATGAACGTAGGGTGAGGGAATGTCAAGGACGTGGACTGCCGCCAAAGAATCAAAAGTATGCAACCTCCGCCAAACGCCTCGCCTCATCGTCCTCGATCGCGCGTAGGCCCGCCTCCACGGAAGCATGCGAGTGCATAGTGACGGCCAACGCAGGGATCGGTTTCACAGGTGGTGGTGACGGTAGCTTGGTCTGACGACGCTTGTCGAATATGTTTGAGGCCCGCGCTTTCGAGGTCGCGATAGTTGCACCGCGATGAAGGTCGACTGGCGCGGCCGGTTCGGCGCGTTGGATAGGTAGGGTTGATGTGCGCTTGGCGAAGAACAACCCAGAGGAGCGGCGCTCGTTCTTTGGTGGAGGAGCAGGAGCCTTCAGATCCCCGAATGAGCGCACGGATGCCGGAGCTGAGAACGCGTCGACGTTGCGCATCGACCTTGGGGGTGTATTGATGACGACCTCGCAGCCGCTGACCAGAACCCCATCCTCAGATGTCTCGACAATGATAGGCGCAATTCCATTCGGGGCACCGCGATGTGCGCTGAAGCCACGAGGCTTCGAGAGAGCAGGTGCTGATGGTAAAGATGGCGTGGGCGGCCCGGCAGAACAGGAAGTATCACTGCCGACTGAAGACGAGGGTGCCAGCATGGGCAACGGGTGTGTTGACGTAGACGCATGGCCCGAGTCTTCTGAGAATGTACGCGAAGTGGGCGATGCCGGGTTGCTAAGAGGCTGCGGCGAGTTGGGTGGTAATGAGAAGAACTCCTCAGACTCTTCAGACTCGGTAAGATCTGCCTCTTGGACTGCGCGTGGCGATGGGGCGACGTGGGGAATCGCAGCAGCAACCGGTGACCGTGGCATCGTATAGCTCACGAAACGCTCACGCTCGCTGTCCCTGGAATGGCGTTCTGGACGAGGCGTAGACTGTGGCGAGTGCCTCAGCCACTGCTGAACTTTCTCCGTGCTGTCCGTATTCGTATGCGTGTGGGTACGGTCGAGAGATCGCCTGGATCGATGCGAACGCGGAGAAGCCGGCGGAATGGGAGAGGTTGCGGGAGCCGGTCGGGGTGTAGAGGCAGTCTGCGGCGTATGAGGTCGTGAAGTAGGGTCGGCGTCTTTGCTATGCGAGCTCGTGGCGCTCTTCACCCTCCACATCTTGACCAGTTCAGCCGCCTCGCTGGGGCCCGCGGAGTCCGCGCCGGGTGGTCTCGCGACGCCCACACGCCTATCCTCCTCAGCCTCGATCTGAGCGAGCGTCTTGACCGGCTGGGCAGGCATCAACCCAGTGGCACGAAGGGCGGCTTCTCGTCGAGCTTGCGCTTGTGCCGAGGTTGATTGGGGCTGGATAACCGTTTTGGTATGCTTGAGACCTTTCGGCAGTGGCGGTGGGGCGGGAGCTTTTGGACGAGGCTCGTCGGGCGACGAGTTCGAGCGGAAACGCGCAGAGAAACGGAAAAGAGGGTTGCTGTTCTGGCGCGACATGGCGTTATCGCGAAGGCGGGGACGAGGCAGACTTTTGAACAGGACCCAGTCTCAGCGCGCAGTTTTATACGATAGCGTAGAGGGATGATAAAGAACGTACTTTTCTGCGTTAGCCTCCGCTGTCGGATTTGTGCCGACGCTCTGTCGCGCCGGTCTGAGCGGTGCCCCTCGACGTTAATTAAGATACAGGAGAGACAAGATCCAGGCTGACGTACGTTAAGCTCGAGGAACCAATGGAGGTTGACGGCTCCGCGTCCATCTTGGTCGCTTTAGCGCCGTCAAGCGGAGAAGCACTACATCAATCCGATGTCAGAAAATGTCAAGTCACGTAGCGTAGCCAAGTCCATAACGAGGGTACGACGTATGATCTGGCGCTCCGCCAGCACTTGACGTACCACCACCGTCGTACTCCTCGTCGATCACTACAACGCACCTTGTACTGGCAGCCCCTTGTTCTCCTTCACCCCGTTCCACCTCCGCTGGAGCCGCACTGTGCGCCACCTCCGGTACCGGTGTCGGCGGAAGCTTCTTGTTTAAGCCAACCCTCGCTTTCAGCCGCTGTAAGGACGAGCGGGCCTTAACCGCAGGCGCATCGAGGACCATAGTGAACGGGAGGAACAAAAGCAGTAGAAGGAGAAGATAATTCAAAAGCAAGGAGTCAAGGGCGTGAAGAGCTAAGCGAGGAGAAGAAGGGAGAAGCGGTTTCAAGGCCTCGTGCTCGGCAGGGCTAGTTATACGGGTCGGAAAACAATATTAGGCCCGGTGGCGAATGCTCGAGGTAACCATCCAAGCAGGCACAGCAACAGGAGAGAGCAAGACTATATATCTTCCAGGGCTGTTCCGGCGATGCACGGCTCCCACATGAAAGAACCAGGACGGCAAGCTTCGCTACATTCACCGACGGTTACCCATGGGGTCCACAGGTTCTCGGGTTCTCAAAAAGTCGTCATCGAAGAAGACAAGGTAGGGTGATAAAGTGGTATGGACGTATGGACTTAGAACTACCCGGTGTGTAGCTCGATCGCAGCGTGCGCATGGAGCCGTTCGCCGAATATGTACTGACGGACGACATGAGGAGAGTTCGTAACGGTGTTTGGCGCGCAGTCTCGACCTCATGCGCTAGCGAGAGGTCCGATCACACGCTCGATCATGTGGCCTATAAATCAATCGATCAATTGCTTCACACGTTATGGGCGTCAACCGAACTCGCCGAAGCCCCCGCCCGAGTCTCGACGTCCATCAAAGAAGGATGGACGGGCGCCACACATCGATGTCGCAGGCTCACTCAAAAGCAGAACAAGCAGCGCACACCAGCCAATACCGTACTACCCGAACGTCATCGAGCCCTCCTATCCGCTCGTATACTGTCGCTATGATCTTGCGATCCGGTGAATATGCCATCGATCGTCGGCTTTCAAGATATTGGGGCAATCTTTGCCCTTGATATTAGGTCGATACGTGAGTACTGATTGTGCGGACTTCGGGAAGGCCTCGGAGTGACTGACGTCGCTGACTAGACGCGTTCTACAATATACACGAACACATACTGTGATCCGCGGGGTAGAGGGACTGAACCGGAAAAGCGCCCGACGCCTGTGGACTTCAGCCGTGTGGGCAATCTGACAAGCTGTACGAGTGCCTCTTCTCGTGTTGGCTCTCCTCCCCCGATAGCCCATTTAGGCCCTCGAGCCAGTTGTGACGTGTCAATACCCAACAGCTGTTGGTATAGCAATGCAGGGGTCACAGTACTCTGAAGGCAGCTCTGCACCGCTTCGTTCTCACCACGCGCGACATACCTTCGCACTCGTCTCATCGCTCTGTCACACGAAGTATGGGTACATGCACCCCGAGTTCACCGTCGTAGTTATGCCTTTCTGGTCTGCTCTCTATCACGATCAGTGGAAATACGCATCGTGAGCATGTACTCACATCGGCGAGTGACCGTCAGTCTCATACGACGTCCGCTTAGCGGTGCCAGCGCAGTTTCAGAAAGAGATCTACGACAAGTCTGTTGAACGACGAGAAGAACCAATGGAGGCCTTCTAAGTTTGAGGGAAGGGGGTGATAAGGTAAGTCTCAACGAGCGTCATTCGAACGAAGGGCTTTTGCGGCGGAGTTCCGCCCAGCACAGCCCTCGTACACCCCGAAGGTCGAGCACGAATGCTCGCGGTGTGACAGAGCGAGTGCCAACGAGCGTCATTGCATCGAATACATGGAGGAGAACTTTTGCAGATATGCCCGCTTGAAGAGCAGCTAGTGGCGGGCGATGAATGCAGACACCGCGAAGAATCACGAGTCACACGCGCGGGCTGCCAAACGTTCCGACAGTAAAATGCATCATATAAGCGACAGGCTGAGTCTCTAAGACTCTCACGATAGATTACGCTTTCTCAACCTGAGAAGTATGCGGGTATCCTCTCCAGCAGCCACACACTTGGGCTCGCCCAGCCTGGCAGATAGTCGCTTGCCAACAACCCAGCCTTGGCCCATGCGTCAATCATCTGCGTTCCCCACCCGAGCGTCCACCCCATCGTCCACCACCAACCTGCCACACCACTTGGTTTGATCGGGCTAACGGCTTCAAGTAGCACTCCGACGCCCTGCATAAGGAAGAACCCTCCCATTTGCCAAAAGTCGAATCCTTTACCCATACCCCACAATCCGAACACGTGAAGAACCGCGCTCACGCCGAACGCACCCATCACCCCTAAAACGGCTTCGCCTTGCTTTCCACCGACGAGGCGACCGATCTTGGCGGCAGGTTGAGCTCCAGTGACGACGAAGATCGCTCGTAGGCACTGATGCCACCTCCGAGCCCAAAAGCCTGCGAGAGATGTCGCAAGCCACGGTGAGTCAAATAGGCGAGGCCACTGCCAGTCCTCCAATCCCAAGAGCATTCTCGAGATCAGCGCGCCGGCCTCGTAGACGGCTTGTAAGCCACGGATTATCATAAGGCCGGTTATGGCCGTATGCGTCAACGCTAAGGCCGTGCGGGCGAGAGGCGGGCGAGAGGAGTCGAAGATGCTTGCGCCCGAGGGAGCGTCGAGAGAGGGTTGGAGATAACGACAGATGTATAGACCCAAGTCGATCGTGCACACATGGTACACCAATTTGAGCGTGAGTTTGGGAAGAGGCGGGGATGCAC